GTATTGGATCTGACCACGTCGATCTCAATGCTGCCAACAAGACCAACGGTGGTATCACCGTTGCTGAAGTTACTGGATCCAACGTTGTCTCCGTCGCTGAGCATGTCGTCATGACCATCTTGGTTCTCGTCCGTAACTTTGTCCCAGCACACGAGCAAATCCAAGCTGGTGAATGGGATGTTGCCGCTGCTGCCAAGAACGAGTTCGATCTTGAGGGTAAGGTCGTCGGTACCGTCGCTGTTGGAAGAATTGGTGAGCGTGTCTTGAGAAGATTGAAGCCATTCGACTGCAAGGAATTGTTGTACTTCGATTACCAACCTCTTAAGCCAGAGGTTGAGCAAGAGATCGGTTGCAGACGTGTTACCGATTTGGAGGAGATGTTGGCTCAATGTGACGTTGTCACCATTAACTGCCCTCTCCACGAGAAGACCCGTGGTCTTTTCAACAAGGAGTTGATCTCCAAGATGAAGAAGGGTATGTTCCAATTCTCATCCGTTTACTCATCATTAAACTAATATAAAAAATAGGATCCTGGTTGGTTAACACCGCCCGTGGTGCCATCGTTGTCAAGGAAGATGTTGCCGAGGCTCTCAAGTCTGGTCACCTTCGCGGTTACGGAGGAGATGTCTGGTTCCCTCAACCAGCACCAAAGGACCACCCACTCCGCTACGCAAAGAACCCATTCGGTGGTGGAAACGCCATGGTTCCTCACATGTCTGGTACATCTTTGGATGCTCAAAAGAGATATGCCGATGGTACCAAGGCTATTCTCGAGAGCTACTTGTCTGGCAAGCATGATTACAGACCAGAGGATCTGATCGTCATTGGTGGTGATTATGCCACCAAGGCTTATGGTGAGAGAGCGAAGAACAGTGGTTCTTCTGGTGCCAACAAGGCATAAGTAGGGAAGATGATTGTATAATTGAAATGGGATGGGAAAGGAAATGGGTTTTTAGGTATGCGGCTTTGATGGTTCAAGCTGCTACTATGTGATATGACATTAAATGAAATGAAATAAATTATCTGTCAAATTGTTTAATTCTACCCTTGAGTGATAAATTCGTTATGAGATATGATTATGGTTGACCTTGGTGTTCAGACTATTGAAGGCTGGATTTCTTCATTTGAATAATAGAAGTAATTCTACTGTGTTGTGATAAAGTGAATCTTTCTGATTGCATTAGCTCCGTATGGGGTATAGGTGTTGCATTCGCCTTTCCACTCTGCTCTAAAAATTGGAGATATCGAGTGTCTCCGTCATATTAGGTTGCACGAATCGGCGGATCATCATGGAAAGAAAACTCTTTGGATCCGAGGTTGTATATATGTAGGTATCGCTAATGGCGCTTTGGTACTAGAAGGAAGAGGGTGGCGGTGATTGGTTGATGAGAGGCTTGGAGGTTGGGAGATTGGAATGTTTGAGGGGATTTGATGGGGGATTTGATGGGGGAGTGAAGGGAGGGATAGGAGAGATGGGAGGGACTTTGAAGGAAGAAGGAAGATTGAAATTGAGGTTGTAATGGAGATGGCCGTCTGGATGAAAAAAAAAATCTTTTCTTTTCTCTTTGTATGGGATTTCATTTTCATCGAGTGTATGACCCATGTATCAAGACTTAAGATGCGAGTGAATACTCTTGTGGAGTATAGGATGGGTATGGAGGAGAGATGTATGTATATACGGGGATAAGATATTAGAAGGTAGGCTATGTCCATGTGTGTGTGTGTGTGCGTGTGTTAGTTATTTTGGTGTGGCTTTATGGTAGGAGGGGAGATATTGGTGGATGGCTTGAATGGGATATTTGAGTGATTTTTTGGGGGGGATTGGGGTTTTGATGAAGAGGTGACAGGGTGGGTTGGATATGATGAGTTTCCTCCTTTTTCGTAGTCTTTTTTCATTCTTACTAGTACCCCTCTTTCAATCTTCTAAAATACCATTTTCTTCCCCGAGAGATGTGAAGACTCGGTAGAAACATTTCTACGAGGTTTATATAATGTTTCGTCGGAGACAACCGTTCACGCCATATTTGACCACGTTAGTTTGGGTTGAATCTTCTGTGCGGTGGTTATGGTTATGATGGTGACAAATTCCACTAGTTCACTTGTTTGATAGGTTGATTGGATTTATTGAATGCTCTCATTTGGCTTTTTGATTGATGTGTCTGTAAAAACAGAGGAGAATGAAAAAGAAGAAGAAGAAGATGGGCATTTGGATTGAAAGAAGGTAGTTCTTCCCTAGATGACTACAAACTTGAGATCGAGTAGGAAATTCCTTTGCGTTCGTATCCATATTTGGATGGAAACTCGGAAGGAAAACAGAAGGAAGATAGATGGATGGATGAATGACTTTGAGAGAAAGTGTGAGGTCGATCGATATCACACTTGCTGTCTTTTTCATTCGAGAGGTATCATCCTGGAGACTTCTATTTCATACATTGTGATCTTTAGAGTTTTGTTGGGAGGTGAAAAGATTGTATTGGTGTGACTGACCATTCAAGTGACTTCGATAAACGACACCTGGGGGATAGAACGAAATTGGTTCTGTACCATTGTACAGAGATGAATCTAGGGGATGAAGAATCTATAGGATTGACCCAACTCATGGGTCCTGAACTTTTATCCCATGTAGCAGGAACTGGGGAAATTGTATGATATAGTGCATATTGCAATTTTGCATTCGACTCCCTTGATACGGATTAGGCAGGATACACACCAAATCAGGGAAACTCATTATACTGATGGATTGGAGAAGAGAGAAATCTTTGTCTTTGTGAGTGGAGGACCTACACCGATAAAGTATTCTTTGACAACACTTCGAAGCCTTGATTTGAAGATTGATCTCGCGCAACAACTGGCCGGAATCTATGTTTATCTTAGATACGATGTTCCAGGCATTTGTATCCGGCTTGAATGATGAGCCTCAAATTTGATGTTTTGCGTGGGGATCTATTTCCCATATGATTCAACCCAGTGATGGTCTTGACTTCCCAAAACTCCTGATTTTAGTTACCCAGTAGATACTTGAATATCTGACTATCTCGCTTGAGTTTAAAATACACGAAGGGGTCGAGGGGAACAATAGAACATTTAAGATCTCGAAGCTGCACATTGTCTTCATGGTATTGGCATTAAAAATTAATAATTCGAATAGTCATACAGCACGTTCATCTTCTTCGCCCATTCTCATCGATCACATCAATCACAATGCAGCCATTACAACCCCACCAACAGCCATTCCCAAGAAACCCCTCATGACCCCGGTTGGTGCAGCGCCTGCAGTCGAACTCGATGTAGTTCCAGTTGCAGATCCAGTTCCACTTGCCGTCGTACCAGCACTTCCCGCACTAGTCTTCGTAGCGGTAGCCGAAACACCAGAAGCCGATGACGATCCCGTAGCCGCCACACTCGCCGACGTACCACCCGTCTTCGTAGCTCCCGTTGCACTTCCCGTAAGAGCGCCTAGTCCTTGATTTCCACTCGCAGTATAATAAAGACTGACCGCCGTCTCACTCGGATACAAATCCGTCAATTGAGTTGCCGTTCCCTCTGCTACATCACCTCCTCCCAAACTATTGAAAATTGCCGCAAAACTTGCTGTAGGTGTACCGGTACAGAGTTGATTGGACGCACTGGTGATAATAGTATTAAATGCGCTGACGACCGCTGGGGATCGTCCACCATGTACATAATCGCAATTGAGACATCCGAGCCAATTGCTGAAAAATCCACCATTACACATACATTGTGCGTGAGCGAGATAATCAAGAGGCGTGGTGCCGTTGGGGGCGCAGGCAGATTGGATGTTTACTACTTCGATGCAGGAGGGGATGGTGCCTGAGGTTATATTTGGAGAACAGACGGAGGTGAGATAATTCTCTTCGGAGGATTGACGAGGCAGAATGGGCACAAGGATTTCTTTTTCTGGAAGAGCGGATACGATGGTGGTGACACTCGTGAGGAGGACGATTGGGCCGAGGTATGAGTGTGGATGCATGGTGGCGTTTGAGAATACAAAAGAAAATACTAGATTTCGCGATCTGATATGAAAAATACAAACACTGTAGAGAGAGAAAAGAGATGCTTTTGCGAAAGTCTTACGGAATTTATGAATAATTCATCTCACCTCGTGAAGCATACTTGATTAGGCACCTACCTGCTGTTACTCGACTCTGTGGAAATTTGGTTGACCTTAGAAGGGAAAGTGCGATGAGATTTGTGACTGCGCTGCATATATCTGACAATCTGACTGTGACTGCAAGTGATAACATCCAAAAACATCGTAGTATCAATGGTTTCATTTTGTTTTCTGCCAAGGAAATTGGTGTTGAGAGTTAGAGGCTTGTCAAAAGCTTGACTTGACGTCTTCCAGCGGGAGGGGCATGTCGCTGATCTAGATGTTGAACAAAAGGAGAAACGAAAGAAATGCCTCACTCCTGAGTATAGAATAGCGATTGATTGAAAAGCTTTCGAAAGAGAATCGAATATTTTAATTGACGACGACTTGTTTAGTTAACCAAAATCATCTTCTTTCCAGAAATTATCTCTTCTTTTACAATCGAACGATTTTCTTGAATTCCCGCAAATTAGTTACTAAATATGTGTCTAGTGCTTATCCACATTACCCGACATAAAACCCATATTTATCCGAGCCAATTATGAAGCTAATTTGTGCTTCCCGTGTCGTATCACTGCAGCCACCCTTGAAAAAGCTTGATGAGTTAGGACGCAAGCAGCCAAGATACGGAAACGTGGAGAAATCAACTTGGCGGTGTCACTAAAGAAAGATCGAAATCCAACATGAAGCAATACGAATGAAGCAAACAAACAAACGATGTGTGTTGATTTGAGAATCATATCATTCTCATCAGTATGTATTGTATTGTATTGTATTGTATTGTCATAATCATAAACCCAAATTTCAAATATCTGTATTTCAGAGTCGAATCCTTATCCATCGCTAACTATCATCATCGTTTCGTTTCCACCACTCCGAGCTCCGTCTTCTAACAGCATTGTTCACCACATCCGCATCCACAGCATTCACAGCCAGCGGACTCACCACCACGAAGGTTGGTCTCGGTACCCATGGTGGGAACTGGTTTCTGTAGGGAAAAGATTAGTATGTTGGAGTAAGTCTGTTGTGGGAGGGATATCATACTGGTTGTTGCATCTCGATACCAATGTTCTCGGAGCTCATAGGAGCTTCGGATTGGATTTGTTGCTCAACGACTGGTTGTTCGAAAGGCATTTTGAGGGATTTCTAGGTAAATGACAGTCAATAAAGAGATCTAATAGGTTTAAGTACAGGTATACTGACGATTTGAAGAGGTTTTAGTAGGGTTGAAAGTTTGTTTGATGGAAAGTGTGTAAGTCTGAAGTCTGAAGTCTGAAGTCTGGATGAGGAGGAGATTGATGGGGGATTTTCGAGCCTTTTGAATTCCCTCAGATCCAGCAAACATGTGCTATCATGGGCCGTGCAGATATCATTGGTCTCTATGACGTTGTAGGGTTTAGGTGCATAGTGGATACCTCTTCAAGATCTTTTGTTGGCAAACCAGGACAGGGTTGAAAAAACCGGGTGGTTTCGTGTAAGATACCATTGACCAACCATAACTTGATGAACAAACGGTGAATAGCAAATACCCAACACAGCCACGTATATCTGCAAGCAAATCAAATCTTACTCGCCTCATAATGTGGTATCGTACTATCATGTACCTCCGTCTTTGGTACCTGCATGGTATGCTCCGCGCGCTTCCTGTGTACAAAAGTACAGTTCATCACGCACATGTAAGTCTCACAACCTACGAGTCAGCAAACATTTCGTTCTACTTGTTTCACCAAACTCCCATCCCCTGCAAACGAGGCTGGCGATACCGAGTAGCTTTCCCGGTTTTTTCATTTATCTGAGTGTCAGGTCCAGACTCTTTGTGCATTTCATAAGCTTCGTACATTATCTACTACGCCACAGCTTATTAGCGACTAGTTGCGAATCTCGATCTTTCCGCTCAATCGTTACTGCTTAATGTTGCGTTGATCCTGTTCGTATATTTTCTGCCGTCTTAATTGTGGAGTAGTGCTACACAGTGTAACGGTCCAATCCTCTATTAAATACCGCAAATCCTAGTTGTATGCGTCGAGCAGTCATCTTGAGACTTACCAGTTCGGCTCTCCTATGGAAGGGTTTGAACCACTCGGAATCCTAAAATTGGAAAGATTTCAGAAGAAATTAAGTTTTGGACCCCTCGCACTTGCCGCCACACGATAGCTTGGACAAGGTTTGAAATGTCACCGAGAGGGGCGCTGAGACCTGATGATTTCTCTTTCGAACTCTATCACACATATCAAAAATCATCTCTGACAGTCAGCAAAAGGTAACACGTATCTTTGAAAACAACGATGATTTTATATTTCTTTCTACCGGTACAGTCTATATAAGAGTTTGTCAAAGTATTGGATACTTGTGCCCAAACTCATTTCCATCGGCTACGACTAGCAATTGCCACTGCAATCATTGCAATCATTGCAGTCACCGCAAGTTCGACCACATTCATTGCCGCTAGCACTACCATCACAACCATGGAGAGGACAGCATAGAACGACATACATCACGCCTAAACAAGTCTCGATGCATGGAACCGTCCTATCTCCAGTATTGGATCGGGTACCCATCTGCTGTGTGGGAGCCTAGAGAAAGACGTACGTTAGTATATCAATGACACGAGATAGATTCTGGACTCTGCTCACAGGTTGTCGAGCGACCATGGTTTGAGACGCCGTTGTCATGGCTTGTTTTGGAGAAGGTTGTTTGCTGTTAGAACTCATCGTGAGGTCTTGAGTTCTCGGAGATCTTTTCTGCCTTGTAGTCTGATTAGTATCGCAGAAATTATCCAGAGGTATACTCGATATCACATACCTTGATTCAAGGAAGTTCTTGTTCGCGACGATAAGGCTTCTGAGGATCTGCCAATGTGAAGCTCGAAGTAAAAGTTTTTTGCAGTATTGTTCTTTTGAGTTGCTGAAAGGAAGTGTTGTTGTTGCAATTACCTTCACAAACGGGGAGATACTTCAGGGTCATGCAGCTATTGTGTCTTCGAGTCATTACATTTTTTTCCGTCGTTGACTCCGATTTCAGTCAATTCACAAGAAGAATGGCGAGAGTCTTAAGAGTTTTGACACATACAGGGTCGGATCAAGAAATTAGGGAAAAACGTTCGACATTGACGATTTTTTGGACCTTGTAGTGACTCGAGTGTTTATGGTCAGTGCCTGGAGAACTCAACCTTCTAAGTGTGTTATAATATAGGGTACCATCACGCCCGATGTTATAGAAATTCATTCGGAAAAACAGATTAGGCAATAGTTGATGGAAGTGATCAACGGACTTGTTTCGAGTCTCCCTGGCAACCTCTTATTCTGTACTGGCACTGATGATTGGAGATTGTTTGACAATTCCTATCAGAACCACGATCATCATTACATTCAATGAAGCAGCCCAGTCACTACCTCTACAGCTCCCCCGGCATCTAAAGGGATCTCAATAGCTTTCGCCCCGACGATAGCGCTCTTCATGTTTCTGCGGAAGTACCTAGAAGTCTTTTCACATGATGATGGAGAAAAAAGATCAATTACAAGCTCATTGACCGCAGTATTTACAGACGATTCGTTTTTTCACTTGTTTACTCGTGCCTGGCTGGAATAAATTTGCTGAGACTTCGAGAACTCTCCAAAAATCGGCACGAAGTTTATGGTATTATAAGGCAGTCAGCTGTTCGAAAAGGTAAAGCGAGGTAGAGCTTCTTCCAGCATATTTCAGACTAAGAACGATTTTTTTGGGCTTCAAAGTTGTATCTCATCACCAGGATGTGTTGACATTGTTTTGCACAAATACAGAAAAGAATATCACGATTACATAGTCAAAGGATATTCGAGTCATGGCATTATCTCCGTGAATCACCACCGCTTGCATTTAGTCATTTGCCGATCACTTCGCGAATGCCGTATAGGCGAATCATTCGTCTTCTCATATACATCCAAACATGGAATTTGTTTTCGCTACCAACACTACATGAGAAACAGAACACATGTAATCAACAAATCAATCATCCAAAGTTGTCTTATCCATACCAGCCAACCTCACAATATTTGCACCCACCTAATCAATCTTTCGCAGGATCAAAAAAGATTATCGCCAGATGTGCCTCATTCTTCTGGGCCGATCAGCCATTCATCACTGGACCCACAGACCAATCCTATACTTATTCCATAATATTGAGCCGAATAAGGAATAGGAAATGAATAACACAGCCACAAGATGTTAAATGAGCTGGCAAAAAACATGGTAACTCAATAGGGCAACATTTTTCGTCTAATTCGACGACGACAATCAGGTTTAGGGAGCAGGATTGAATGCAATCTCGAAATTCACAACGAGCGGAGTCTTCAATAGATCGATATTTCACTGCTTTTACCACACATTTGTGTTAAAATTGGTTAAGAAAACGACAATGCTTGGATTTGAATTGCGCGACCCAGAACACTAATTTCTAGCAAACGAAACGAAAAATCCGACGAGTAACACTTTTCTACCACATTATTTTTCGGTCAACTCATATGGTCCATAGCCTCATTTCCCCCCACATCTCTTTCCTCTATCTACTCAAACCCTCTGAGCAGCATTCCCTGAATAGCCCGGTTCATTCACGCCCTGATGAGCAACAGGGTTCGCAGGATTTGGACCTGCAGCACCCGTTTGCATAGGACCTGTTTGTCCTGCATGACCTGTTTGCCCCGGAGTTTGCATTTCCATTGCTGTGTGTTTTTGGTTGGGGGAGGCCGCACTGTGATGACCTTCGTCGTGATGAGAGAGGATTTTACCCATGGTAACGGCGAAGGTTATTATGAAGAGGACGCTGAGGTTTTGTTAGCAATGGTCTTTCACTTCGACCCTCTATCCTGATAAAATCGCTCGCAGGGAAAGGGACAAGAAACAAAAACGCAAAAAGAGATAATCTCACAATTCAATAGCAGCTAATACCGCAGCCGCAATATACACCCCTCTAAAAGTAGAATAGCTAGTGCTAGCTCTCTTTTCCAACCCCTCGCTCAAATCATCTCTCTCTTCCAATTCCAACAGATCGCGTCTGCAAAAGTAATATCCGCATCCGTAGTAATTGAATCGGCCACGATAACGACGCACCTGAACGGCAGAGGTAATCCAAGCGGCGAGCCAGAAAATGACAAGAAATATATCGAGACAGGCGATGGCCCAGTAGTTGTAGATGCTTGTGAAACGGTGAGTTGATAGGAGGATGTAGAAGATTATTAAAATTGTTGCGCTGGCCTATTTTGGAAAGATTTGTTAGTGGTGTCCCGCAGAATTAGGGGAGTGAATTGATAGACTTGAGGGGAAAAAACATACGACGAAAAGATCCAGAAACGCCCCCGAATACCCAATAAACGTCACTACGAACCCCGCCAACCCTATTATTGCAAGCGCGAGAAGGAGTTGTAAGATTCTCAATGCGCTGAGAAATTTATTAGGTTTCAACACATGACCCGTTCGTATGTCATGGTTTTCGGTACCAGGCCGATTAGTACCGTGATTATTATCCATGATGGAAATGAATTTCGAGATGGAAAATGTGGAAGGTGGGTTGGGAATGGTGATGTTGATTCCTTTCCTGATAAGATAAGTAGAGGGAAGAACTCGGGAATGGAAGCCCTTTTTGAGGAATAGAAGAATGTGGCTCGATGGGTGCAAGTGAGACATGGGGATAAAGAATGAAAGGGGCGGCTTAGTGTGGTTCGCTAGGAACAGGCGAGTGGCAATGTTTTCGGAATAAAGAATGAAGAAAATGTGCATCGTGACTTTTGGAAAATTGCTTGCAGCTGGGTTTTGCTCAGAAGTAGTGCGGTCGGTTTGAATAATAGTCGAACCTGAATGCAAATATCATGGTTTCAATTCTAAAATTGGAACGTCAAATGAAATTGACGAATTTGAATTGATTTATCTCATTGCCCAAACTGATTGCAATTGGCTGCTCTGAAGAAACCTGAAAAATTAAAAGAATTGCCGCGTCATAATTTAATGGGCATGGAAAAAGAGTTCGAGGTCTCAAGCCCTTCTAGGGTCCGTCCAATGAATTCCCGTCATTTCAACTCCCACACCAAGCTCTTTTCTCGAAGTACCTAGCTTTTGCCTTAAACCCACAAAAGATTGGAAAATAAGTGTTTGGGGAAGTATTTCATCATTTATTCGAATCCAATAGAACCACTGGTTCACACCCTACTCTTCTTATCAAGTCCACTTTTGTGTCATAACGTTATCCACTACCTCCCAAAAGCTGTCAACGGCCATCACAGCCCCAAACTGGTAACAGCGAGATAGACTACCCAGACCTCTCTTTAGATTATTCATATTTTGTGTTTCAACTACCTTCTCAATATCACTATGATATTTCTCGGCTATCATAAACCAAGCCTGGACAGGAGTAATCTCAAAGTCTGAAACAGGTAGCGACTGCGACATGGCATATAGCTGAGCCAAAGAAACAGAAGAAGAAAACCACGAAACTTCGGAAGTTGATTCATTAAATGCTTCAAGCGGTGCTTGAGCGAAGATATGTGTTGAGGCCATGAGCTCGTGACCGGATGGATCCCCGGCGGGATCGAGAGGGAGAGGAGTATCTGGTATATGGTGAAAGTGGGTGCGACAAGGGTGTTCGAGACTGTAGATATGAAATCAATACATGACTTTGTTATGAAAGAGGGGGAATGACTTACGCCAGAATGAAACTGATCGCTACAAGCGATATGTCAGGTAATGGTTTCTGTACTGCATTTCCAGGTAGCAATATTTGGCCGGGAAGTGGTGGAAGAGGTTTGGAAAGATCAATTGCCCCATGGTCTTTGGTAGAATTTTCGGATGAATCGCTAATATAAAGGCAAGATGCATTTAGGAACTCATCGAATTGAATACTGATATGAGAACCAGATGAATTACTTGAGTATGGTACATTGTGATTGTCGGAGAAGTAACTAGTGAGCGGCTCACTGTCCTGAGTAAGCATACCACTGATATAGCTGGAAAGTCTATCATTTTCTGACTCGTAGTCGACGGTTCTAATGGTAGGCCTTATCTCTTGGGTTGCATTGGAGGTAGTAAGGTCGCGGAGTGGTTCGTATTCTTGTGGAGGAAGCAAATCGATTGCTTGGTCGCCAGATATCTTTCCAACTCGTGATTTCAAATCAGACAGATTCTTAATACCTGAAGCTGCTAGCGTCGATTCTATCGCTATATTTTCTTTCATCAAGGCCGAACTTTCAGCTTCTGTTGTAGTAATCATCCCCCTAAGACGTATCAAATCTTCCTCAAGATGCTTGACGTAGTTCTCTTTTCGCTGTCGATGTTCTCTAGGAAAGAAATTAGCAACGGAATCAAGAACTACACTAGGGGCAAACTAACATTTGAGCTCGTCGAACTTGAGCTCGTCTATGCTGTTTTTGAGCTGTACCAGATTTTGCTTCGCTATTCGCATCCTTGACTTTCATCTCAAGTTAGTTTCGTAAAAATGATAATGATGAGGTAGTCGATTCCGAATAGCTCATGCTGGGTGAGTAGTTGTATTAAGCGCGAATTCCCAATTTGATTTTGACGGGCAGCTTAAGGTTTTGAGGTAGAGATATATAAGAGGGAGAAGGAAGCTTATAGAATGAGAAGAGTGCTAGGTTAACTCACAAGTCTTAAGTCTCGTGATATTTGGCATAAATTTAACCTTCTGGGATGAGATCTTATCAACAGATCGGTGCCAAAATGATGTGAAGGATGCATCTTGGGATTCATCTGCCATATTTGGAGCTCATACGTCTAATCCGCCACAATTGATTCCAAAGATTTCGCCTTTTTGTGATCTTCAAGATAAAACAAGCTCAAAGTCCGCATACAATTGGTATAGAAGCCTACTCGTGTTGCAACGGGCTAGCGTCAGCAGAGACAATGTTTTTCCTAATTGATTTTGAACACCGACGAACATACGGAATAATATACTGGAATTCTGAATTCTGAGGTCCAGATTTCTAATACGAGAATGCACGTCAGCCGCATCCTGCGTTTGCTTGTTTGGAATACAAAGTACTCCATCGAGCCTAGTGCCTTGGCTCGAGTTTCTGTGTAGTCACGTGATATTACAGCATCTAGACCTCAGCTCCTTGTTCTTGCTTCTGTACTCATATACACTTTTACTTACTGTATAATACCTGGGGGAACTGTAGCCCGTCTTTAGGAACAGCTTTTTGCATCAAGTGACCGTTTCACCGACGTTTCTTTCTTCATGTGTCGGTTCATGCCCCATGCAGTCAGCTCACACGTCCACTCTGGTTGGCTCGTTCTGGCTTGCATCGTGAGCGCTTCCTTGGGTCACACTCGCTTATGCTCAAGGACCAATGAAATCTATCTCATAAATTGGTTTCTCCAATATTTCATTCTTCTTGAAGCAACTGAAATGGGTTACCTATCAATTAAGGTTTGAACTCAGTTCATCGCCCAGTAGTGTGATTTGAATGAAGGCACTGCACCTATTCGAATGGTTACATACTAAGATTCCGTTATTAATCAGTATTATAGTATTTGGCACTGAAAATTACCATTCGTGAGTTAGTTATTTCTCGAAGTCGAGCGCCTAGAAGTAGTAAAGGATATGCACTCTTTTCCTGTTATAGAGACCACACAGAAGAACCACACGCGAAGGAGGAATGTCAATTGCGACGTTTCTACTTTCAATACTTATTAGCAGGTCGAATCAACCGATTGGTTATCCGAAAATAAACAAGGTTTTAATGTTACCTTTCTTTGAAAGGCGCTAAGATCGTGTTTGAAATTCTGACACGTTTGTGATGACCCAAACCAAGAAAGAAACTCTTCTCTACTCGGCGACGCTTTTTAAGAGGCTCAAGATCATAGGAAAACGCTGACGATATGATTTTTTGTGTCACAGACAACAGCTTAAGGCTTTTTACATCAACCTCATATGCTCAAAATCAAACCAATAATTTTTCTTCTTCCCGACTAAACCGAATCATTCTAGTGAAGTAGTTTTGGAATTTCTTCACAGTTCAGCAAACTCCCTTCAGCTATGAGCTTCTCATATAGTTTGCCTAAATTTGAACAGGCAAGAAAGTTTTACGGTGAAGGCCAATCAGCTTCAAAGTGGCTCGAGAGAATTAAGCTTGACATCGCTTCTAGCAACTGTGGCACCATCCCAATTAAAGTTTATTTATGGGCAATAGATGTTCTATTGAGTGGAACTGCAGCGAACTGGTGTGATTCAGTCCCCGCAATTAAGAAAATCTTGGATAATTACGATATCGCAAATGCTTCAGAGACAGAATGGTTGGAGAGTGAGCTTATCAAACGATTTCCTGGGGATGTCACCAGTACTCCAGTTGCCCATATAGTTACCCGGCGCCGCTCGTATAGCCTTGAAGTGAAAGCAGATTCAGATGCCACGGCATTAAAACTGGGAGAGCTATTCATTGGAGGAGGACCCCGAGGTCGGAATCAGGGGACAGAAACATATCGAGCTTCTGCAGGACATCGCGGATTTAGTTACCATGATGATCGGAACACCAGACGCGAAACCCTGCAGGAAATGGTGGAACCAAAAATCATCAACGAGTGCCAGTTTCACAAAAGACCCAGAGTTGCATCGATATCACCAAAATATCAGAACGAGCCTCACCGTAGCTCTTCAACTATAAATCGAGTGCCACCAGCGTCCGGGAAGTATCCTAATGATCGGACGAAGATGCCAACGCCTTTAAAGGGCATCTTAAAGAACAAAATGAACCATAACCAACAACCAATGGCCCATTCCTACGACGGCAAAGATCGCTCAAGAAACAGTTACACTAGAAACCCTTCTCCCTACCAAAGCAACGGAAATCCTAACCATTACCGGAACGCCAAGAATCCCGAATCCCGTCAACATCCCCAAACAAACCCACCAGACTCTGGATATCGTTCTCCAGAATCGAGACCAGCTTATCAGCAATCAAAAACATCCTATCGAGAAATCACAATTGAATCGTCCAAGTCTCAGATACCATGCTGGTCATATATGCCACTTCCTGCCACTAGAATCGTCTCTTATCCGGTCCCAGAGCCGACTCACTTTGACGATGGTCCACTGCAATATCCGAGATGGGCAGAGCCGAGCTCTGAGGCTTGGCAGACGTCAAATTCAACCTTTGACACACTCAAGCAACGTTTCCGTGATTCAAGTCGAAGTGGGAGATAAGGAAATACATACTAGAAGAGGCCTAGAGTGGCAATGAATTTGATTCATGAGATTGCAGTAGTAATCCTGTTGTAAACTACTCGGACTGGGAAGTTCTTCAGTCCATTACAACAACTCTCAGGTGCGTGATGCCATTACCATTTCATCCTCCCGGGAGAACTTCAAGTTTACTTGAGGAATACTGATCGTAGTTCCATGCTGACCTCACTGTCGAGATAGATCCCACCCTACAAAGTCCATGGCTGAATGCGCTGCGATGAGCTCCGTACGCATGAGTAATATGTGGTTGAGAGCAATGCATGAAGAGATACCATAACCCATGAGGTGAGGCATAAAATTCTCATGGTCAACAAGAGATTGTAAGATCTAATATAACAATAAATTTGGTGCTGGAAAGTCGACAAAGGTGGTTGAATCTGGTGGCGAGAAGGAGTTTGAACGGGAAACGGGAGTGTTGAGTGAGGGATACTGTGTATAATGTACTTGTGATGGAATATAACGAATCGCATTGAACCATAAATGGGGATCAGTTATGGTAGCCATACCACATATTCCAGCTCAAACAATGCCATAAGAATTTTCATACCCATTTTGTCTCTAAGGAAACAATTCTATCAAGACAAGACACAAGGAGAAGTGGGGCAATGTGACCTTAAGCGAAGTTGAAACTGAGGCTTGATCGAAGAGAATGTGAAGAATGAAACTCAACAAAAAGACATAACTTTCCTTCGTCCTTATCTCCACCTCCCTTTCATTTTCATTCTCACAGCTTAGCCTACCGCCTTTATATATCTACAATATCTCTTCCTCCCATCAAAAAACATGTCCTCATGGTCCAGTCGTCTCATCACCACTTCTCAGCAATCGACTTCGAGATTTCAACTAACCTGTCCACAGCAAAATCCACCTCACAAGTCCCATCCGATGGGCCATTTTGACCAACAATCTACACCTTGGGTAGTGGCAACAGCCACTACCACGATCCAACACCAGCACAAGCCAATTTCACACACATTCGAATCTCATTTCAACAATCCAACCACGGTACATCGTAATGTCCCGTATGCAATCAACAACAACATGTCCTCTTCCAGCAGGCCGCGCCTGTTGGCAAAAAAACAACTATCGAGCTGCAAAGCTCCATGCCACGGGATTAAATTCCAACTTTGTCAATATTGACTACGATTTATCTGATTTCGCACCTGATCAGACTCACTGGAATACGAAATGCGAGGGAGTACCTCGATTTGTAAGTACACTTCTCATTCTATGATGAGATGACTGGACTTGGACATGTTACTTTTTCATATTTTTCTGTTTTTCAGATTGCAAACCCGGAGACTGTCCAGTGTTGAATTATTGTGCTGTGGTAATGTGATAAAACGAGGAAATGGTATGTGGTATTGTATTCATCAAGTCTAGAAAAGCGCATCAACGTTTATGAGGTATCTTGTAATCCGCTCAATCCAACAAAAGCTCGCTAATTGGCAGCCAAAATTTCCGCCGCTCCTTGTGAAGGTAAATCTTGAATGTGTTCATCATGTTTCGCATGCATCTCTGCTTCCTTTTTTCTTTTCTCCTCGTGCTCATGTGCTTTATAACTTGCATATCTCAAGCTTGTCAACACCATGAATGCCATGAACAATATTCCCATGACTGATCTTCGAGTGAGTACCCATCGGAGACCTTCTATCTCGGATTTGGCATCACTATTGAGCATGACGGTTATTTTGTAGTTTAGTTCTTGGATCTATATTGCTGTTAGAAATTGTGAAGAGGAGAGATACATGAACCACATACCCCGGTTTCCATTGTTCGCTGTTCTTGTCGCACAGTCATTTTACGATCGTCGAACATTCCTTTGAGATCATCTTTAAGTGTGAGCAACTCCTGAGTGAGCTTTTGATTTAGGATATCAACTTCATGTTGTAGTAATGTGCGTTCTCTTCGCATCTTCTCTTCGCTCGCCTTGCGGTTGTTTTGAATTTCGGATTTCAACTCGGAACATGCTGCACGGAAGAGATAGACTTCCTATAAGACTGACTGTTAGCAACCATGTAAGAGTAGATTCTAACAGTGAAGATGTGACTAACGTTTTCTACATCGCTCTTGCTAACCAGACCATCTTTGGCAACATCCAAGTTAATGGCTAGTAATTCCCTCACTGCCTTCATAGAAGTAATACTCTGATCCTTTGTAAAGCCCCCTTCCTGAACCTGCTGTACCAAAGCATATGTGTCGAAATGATGAACATATGGTGGAGTTTGGAGATGCGGTGGTTTTGATGAGTTTTGAGCTTCCGCAGACTCAGGTGGCGGCATATGTAATACTGTTTCCAGCGGCGCCATTTTACCGGTATTTGCAGCAGCTTGTTGACGGGGCGTCAGTGGATCCGGTCCTTGAGGGATTTTAGATCTCGATGTAGCTCCAGAATCGCCAGCTATAATTGAAGCAGCCTGCGTCTCTTCCGACAGAGGCGCTGCAGAAGAGGGTCTCTTTTCTGCTTTCCCTTCGTAGTTTTTGGCTTTGTCTGCTTTCTCTGACTCTTTTCCCACTTTTGCATCATTCAGACTCTCTTCTTCCTCTTCCTCGACCTCAACCTCCTTCTCAGGCACAAATACTTTTACATTGCTTTCATTCTCTCCCTCCTTCAAGAAAGGCTCTACAGCTTTTCCATGTCTCTGCACAAAAACATCCCTCCTGTTCTGGGTTGTGCCAAATTGCCTTGGTCGTTGTGTTCGATTTGCTCGTCTGGATTGTATTCGCACTCTAGGCGCAATGGGTTCGCTAGCTCGAATTCCTCGAAATAATGTGGGATATAGAAAGGTCAAGCGCGTTGTAGACATAATTCATGTTGGTAAACGTTGAAATTCATGGGGCTTCTGTTCAACAGATTATCTTTGTATGCCGATGATCCTCCCGTCCACGTGGAATGTGGGATATTCAGCCTTGCTGCAAGGCTACGGCTCATGTGCACGGGCCTTTGTTGCTCTGAGGTCTTCGATCACAACCACTACCGATTACCACCACTACCGGTTTTCAGACAATGAGATATCTTTAAAGTCTCATTATCGAGAGTTCAATGCCAAAATTGCTATGTGGTGTTATGCGACTATCTCTCTGGGTTTGGCATAGCCTGCTGTTACATAAGAAGCTGTGTAACTGTGCCATTTGCTTTTTTACTACGCCCTCGTGTTTGAATTTTGCCTTGATCAATGTGTAAAATTCAAGCATTCAACAACGATTTCACTTGAATGATAGTTTCCAAAATGATCTGGATGGCGAAACAAATAAATTGCCAAGGTCTGACGACTACGGCAAGTTACATGCATTAAGGTAATTGTTGAGGCAGTGGTCGGCTCGCTGTGTCGCCACACTACTGCGTGACAAGACAATATCAATCAGGCTTCAAATGCGTCTTCCCATTCTTAATTCTTCTCCTTCAATAGAAGTGTAACTACCCTTGCAGAATGCTTGATCCGCTCTCAGCCCTTAGTCTCGCGGCGACTATAGTTCAGTTTGTGGACTATGGCTCAAAGGTCATCTCCGATGCTACTGAGTTGCATCACTCTTCCGAGGGAGCCTTGGCCAACAATCTGGAGCTCTCAACGATCATCCCAGATCTCAGTTCTATTAGTAATGCTTTGAGTTTACGAAGCTCTGGCCAAGGAATGCATAGCTACACCAAGGACGAACTAGCGCTTAATGGTCTTGCTTCACAATGCAAGGAACTATCAGACAAGCTTTTCATGACCTTGATGGGTTGAATATCAAAAAGGCACATACGAAGTGGGCAAGTGCTCGTCAAGCAATGCGTAGATTGTGGAAGGAAGCTTACATTTCCGAGATCTCGAAACGGCTGGATGGTTTTCGAAATCAATTGGTACTTAGACTTGTAGCCCTTTTGGCGTACGCTTCCACGTTTCAGATCGATTTCCGTCGGGCATTTTAATAAAAGCCAACTATGTAAAGAAACCTGCTATGGGTATAGCACTTATAGAATTGCAACGTAGCCAAGATCGTACAGAATCAAACATCATGGGTTATCTTTCATGGTTAAGAGATGATTTATCTGCTCTGTCTCAAGATAGCCGCAATTGTGAACAGACCAAGGCTGTGTTATGGAAAAAACTTTCTCACCATATCGGAAACGGCAATAAACCTGCTACTGAGCGAGCAGTCCTTGAGAAATTCAAAGACGAAGGGATAGGCCGACGAATCTCTAACGTTGATGAAGCACATAATGACGGCACCTTCGACTGAATATTTGAACCTCAAACGATAAGATTCTTGCAATGGCTCCGTGAAGGTGTTGATATATATTGGATCAATGGAAACGCTGGCTCTGGTAAATCTACACTCATGAAGTACCTAGTGGCTAATAATGTTGTGAAAACCGCGCTACTGGATTGGGCTGGCACAAAACCTCTTGTTGTAGGCAATTACTTCTGTTGGTGTGCTGGGAATGAAATGGAAAAATCCCAGCGATGCCTTTTACAATCTCTACTTTACGACATTTTGAGAAGTTGTCCTTCGGTATTGCCAGAACTATTTCCAGAAAGATGGGCATAGCCTCACCACTCGGGTATCAATATGAATGGCTCTTGGTCACAAAACGAGCTTCTTGACGCATTCGAAAGACACCAAGAAACAGTTATGGCCAGGTAGGTTTGCTTTCTTCATTGACGGTGTGGATGAGTACGTTGGAGACCCAGCAGAAATTGCACGCCTTTTGAAGGCATTTGTAACATCCGCAGATGTTAAAATTATCGTCTCGAGTCGACCTTGGACAGAGATTGAGACGTTCATCGACCCAATCCCTGGTCAATTGCTGCCCTTGCATTACTTCACCCGAGAAGACATTCAACGTTATACTTATGACTTGATTACCCACCATCCTGATTTCCGCATCCCACAAATAGACAAACGTTATTGGAATCTTATCGAGCAAATATCCAACAAATATAGAGGTGTCTTTCTCTGGGTTGTCCTCACTGTCAGGGAGATACTGAAAGGGTTGACACATCAAGATACGATTCCTGAACTGGAAGCTAGACTAGAGGATATTCTACCTAGCCTCGATGAAGTTTTTGACCGGATGCTAGATACCATCGAGAAATGTTATCGCCGCCAAACATCACCAATCGTCCAAATGTGTTTGGTTGCGAGAGGTATTTGGCCACTAATAACCTTTGCATTTTTAGATGAGGAACAGAATAATCCTAATTATGCATTACTCGCAAAATTAAAGCCATGGTCAGTTGATCACTACGAGAGAGAGAAATACATTACAAGAAAACGGGTTAAAGCTCTTTGTCGTGGCTTCCTGAAGTTCGATCTGAACTTCCATTATCTAGCATCCCCTGAGTGTCATGTTGCTTTTCTGCACAGAACAGTGGAGAATTTTTTTCTGCGGCCTGCTATGCAAAAGATTTTGTTGGGTTGGACAAAAGATCCATTTGATCCTCATCTGTCACTGTGTCGCTCTTTTACCATGCAATTGAAAGTCTTCCCACCGACCGAAGAGAAAGACCTGACGTTTAGCTTGAGATACAATCGTAACTGTGATAGCCCGCTAGTATCAAAAATATCATTCTTTATACATCACATCAAAAAGCCAGCTATTCGCGGCAATGCAACAGTATTTGCACTGATTGAAGAGGTTGATCGAATTGCAATTGATCGGTCCGCCAGCGACAATTTCATCAGATTATTGATGATGGATTACCAAAGGCGCTGGGAACAGGGCTGGATTCTGGCTTTGTGCGTGCGGCGCGCATGCCTGAGTATGTTCGGCAGAAGCTCTAAGAGAACTCAGCTTTGGCAAACGATATTGACGGGTGCAAGCACCTTCATCTCGCTTTGCGTCGAAATACTATCTCAATTTTCGACGATCCCAATGACGCAGATGATTGAGTGACAATAGTCAAGGTACTTCAAAAGCTGGGGCTGATTCGAATCAGCCTTCTATGATGCCATATGAACTCAAGCGAAACGCGAATCTTTGTCCACCGACTCATACAGAGGAAGACCTATCAATGGAATATGGGCTGAATTCATAGAACTTTGGTTTCGGGAACGAATTCGGGTTGAGTATCATGTTAGTAGCAAGATTCGAACTGAAATATTTAGATTGTTTCTCGATCATGGTGCCGACCTTTCGGTAAAAATTATTGTTCGGCAAGAAGAGAAGGGAGTGACAAAATCATACATGCACTATAGCCTATCTGAATATCTTGAGAAAGTACCCCCCGATTCAGCTGAATGCTACAAACTTCTTCTCGAACGAATGGAGGAAATTGAATCAATAAATAAAAGGAGCGAAATGCCAAGGTGGCGGATTAATCTACCGCGTATTCTGGGGTACATGTTAGGGGTGGAAACTGAAGTGTTCGATTTGATTTTCGTCAATGTTATCATTATCGGTCTAGAGATGCTACAAAGATATGTCTAAAGATTTGGATCGTTTCTAGCAAACAGATAGGGGGTTAGTCACGCGGCTGTCCTGGTATTATTTAGAACTTGTTTTGTAATTAGTCCTGCTATTTGGTGACCGGCTAGTTTCTATTTTACATTGTTGAATGATTTTGATCAAACTTCAGACCCATGAAAAATCATGCAAGCTTCTCTGATGCACCGAAGTCCTCCCATCCTCACCTCCAGTTCACTTTCTCCGTGATCTATCCAACAAATTGAACTATCCTATAATCCTGCGTATTTTGTTCTTCTACAAAATATCAACCTTAATGCATCTGCTCCATCAGCCGTCAGACAAAATCTCTGTATAGTCTATTCTTGATATCCCCTACGATTTAATTTCGTTCTTTTTAGTCGTCAGTAGATTGTCTTCAACTCCCAAGCCTAAATTCAAATATTCAAGCCAAAGAAGAGATACGAAAGTACTAATATCGATAGCTGACATGCTGAGATTCTTACGCCTTTGGAGACGAAAGATATGCTTCTTGTTCTCCCTCTTTCTTTTTCTATCTATTAATTTTATTTTATTCCTTTATTCTCTATTCTTTCTTCTTTATTCTTCATTCCACAACACAACACAATTCAGAACAAAACAGAACAACGCTTTGTTGAACAAACACTTTTCCTACCTACCTACACTAGCAATCTAATCCAATCCAACCTAATCTAACCCTCCCTCCTCCCTCCCACCTTCATCCCCACCAACAAACCACAAAGAATATATACGAGTAGTTACCCACCTATCAAGCTATCTAAACAATATATTTCGGGGCACGATCACGTGCTCGAATATCAGAGGCACTGTATTTTCTTTATGTACCTAGATAAGTAGGTGAGTAGATACTTAGTACCTAGCTAGCTCCTTGTGATTTAAAATTTATCTTGAAATCTAATGATGAAGAAAATTTACACCAAACCAAAGAATAGGAGAGTAAACAAGTCTACTACCGAAAAATAACTGTTTGCTCAGCTGTAAAATCCGCAAAAGCAACAGCAAAAAAAAAAACAACAGGAAAAAACAGGACAAAAAATAAAATAAAAGCACTGTATTTCCACAGCACAGTATCAAAACAACATCACAATCTACACTATAAATTTGAATGTTTATCCCATCTATCACATTTTTCTCCAGGCACTTGCTATCTACTTACTTACATACATACAAGCAACTTTCCATCTTAGACTTCACATCCGAAATCCAGGCCAGAAACGCATTAGTAAGTCGAGTAGCAAATCCCCATCCCAAACTAACAACCCAACCGCAACCAACCAACCATGGTTCCTCCCCCGAGAATTCGCTCGAATTCCCTCCCTACCCCCTCTCCCTCTCCCTTCCACATCGAAGCTAGACCTCTCCGCCTCAGCCTCCATCAGCGCAACATCAACGCAGCCGAATACCAACGACGACGTCTCGAGGAGTTTCGATCTCAGAGAGGCCTCGACGAGGTTCAATCGCAGAGACAACGCAACGCCGAACTCAAGGCCGTCCGTTCCCGGAGACGAGGAAACGCAGGGATCGAAGCTCAAGCTCAGAGACAGAGACGCAATATGGAAGCAGCCGAATACCAACGACGACGACTCGAGGAGTTCCGAATTCAGAGAGGCCTCGACGAGGCACAATCGCAGAGACAGCGAAACGAGGAGCTCGCGGCAATCCGTGCTCAGAGACGACGCATCGGGGTGCTCCAACCCCAAGCACGACGAATCAACGAGATGCAAGCTCAGAGACAGCCACTCGAAGAGATCGACGCGATCGAATCTCAGAGACGACGAAACGAGGCGATCCAAGCTCAGAGACGACGAAACCAGGCACTCCAAGCTCAGAGACGACGAAGAGGTTCGAATCCTGAGGATGGAGGAGGAAGCGGAGAGGAAGCGAGTGGAGATCGAGAAGAAGAAGAAGAAGAAGAAGGAGAGAAGATCTTCTCAGTAGGTAGATGAGAGTGAGAGAGCGAGAGGAGGCGGTTGACAGTAGTTTGATCCGAGTATTTCTTTTGTAGTTCTTCTTTCCTTCCCGAAAGACTCAGGTAAGTCCCGGGTATTCATTCATTCAGTCTTTTCAGTCTTTTCAGTCTTTTCATTTCTTTCCAAGTATCGAAAATCTCCCACCACTCACTCTATTTCCTATTTCCTCGGAAAAGTTAAGAAAAAATTTAATAAAAAATTATCTATAAATTTTAGTAATCTATTGACCCATCTATGAACGTGACGATCAGCTTACCAAGAGCTTATATATAAACTTCTTAAAGAACTTGTGATATCCCTTTTCACTCTAAAAGAATACTAATTATTATGTAATCCAACTGTATATAGGTACCCTTCCAATCCCGACCTTGAGTTCCACCATGAGTTTCCCTTACATTTCTCCCTATCTCTGTAAAAAAAAGAAATCCCCTAAGATATCTCATCCGCATTAAAACAAAGCCGGAACCGATCCTTCATGATTCGAGTCCTGACTGCCACTACGTTTACGCTGAGATCTTATCTCCGCCAACGCTGCCTGATTGACTGCACTCTTAGTGTAGATATCCACCGCACAACTAACTTCCACAAAATCTTCCATCTCTTCACTAACTGTCATGAGTTTTTCTTTAACAGATGCTATTCCTTCATACCCTACAATATGTCTTGCTGGGGGATTTTCATGACCTCCAATCGCCGTTAATGCATGAACTGTTTCCATAACCAATTTATCTCTCGATTCGCTCGGTAGATTAGGAAATCTCGACTCAATGGCACTTTTTCCAGCCTGTGGTTCCATCCGAGTATCCGGATGTGAATTCAACACGTGCGTCAAAACCTCCCTCAACTGTGGAGCCGGATTATTCTGGGGTTCATATTGTGGTAATTGTGGAGCGAAAGTAATTTTGTTTGTGAGGAGGGGAATTTCTTTATTCGGTTGAACGATTGTCAATTTTATATTGAATGGAGCAATCTCATATGTCAGAGCATCACAAAATCCTTCCAAAGCCCATGTCGCAGCACAATACATGGACATTCCGGGTGTCCCTATGTGCCCCGTAATTCCAGTAAGTATGAGGATATGGCCATCACGTTTTTGGCGAAGATGAGGAAGAGCGGATTTAATAAAATTGATCTGACTGAAGTAGATGGCTTCGAATTGATCACGAACAAGACTTTGAGTAGCTGGATTTGTCGAAAGTTCTTCTACCGTGCCAACAACAGCTACACGGATATCAGCATGGTACTGAAATAGATACTTCATACTAAAATACCTTCAGATGAAGAACACAACAAAATGTCTATACGACCGAATACTTTGATGGCTTCCGCAATAGCTGCTAAACATTGTGATTTGGCCCTATCAAGATTTCAGCATAAACCCCTCCCACGTTACGGCAACGGCATATTTCCTAACCTTCCATCAACCCTAATACCTCTAATTCTATCTTTCCAACCCTCACACTGCTTTTTACTACTATTGCAATCATTAATGAGTTCCTTGAACTCTATACATCGCTCATCATCCTCGATTTCACTCGGCGGTAGGCCAGCAGCTACATAATCGCCATGCTTGAGGAGAAGTCTGATTAACCGCACAGATAATGGAGATAAAGCGGAAGTTAAGAACCAAACTCGAGGTGAGTTATGCGTCGCTATGACTTCTTAGTAGGAGAACATGTGCAGATAATGAAGGGCGATACACACGAAATGATGCAACGGGAATTTTTAAAGGACTGTTTGAAGGGCCAGCTTCTGAATTCTTCCGTTCCATGGTCAAATGATATCGATATCCAAAGTATATCTATAGGTAACCGAGATTTGTATCACAATTGAAAGCCAGCTTTGGTTGATGAGCCAAGAGTGAGGTTTGACGTGGTTGAGGAAAAGTACATTGATGATAAGATGTACCCGGATCACGTGAAGCGTTCTTCTGACAAGGGTAACCCTCACGAGATTTGCGCTAATTCAATTGAACCAACCAGAAAATCTGGGGTAAAGCTAAAACATTCCCCCTCCTAATATAAGTCACTCAAACAATAACTTTCTTATATCACAAGTATCACAAATATCCCAGCTCCCATAGCGCATATGAAATTTAGTTCTTTACCTTACATCTAGTCTTCCAAGATGATCGTTCTGGATGCCCTCGATCGATTCATCTGAATTCAATGTTATAATCTCTTCCCACGTGATTACTCCCTGATGACAATGGCTTTTAACGAGCAATCACAATCAACAAACACGAGCTCCAAACTTCTGAGAGGAACCAATATCAAAAAACTATTATTCTGTAAACCTTTTCCTTTCTATGAACTCTGGAGCAAACGGTAAGAATAACGACAAGCCAGATTACATTAAACTGATCCAGCAAGCCAGCAAATATAGACACTTTCATTTCCTTCTTTTCCTCTTTTCTATCATCCTGTTTTAAAACTCATGCCCTCCAAAAAGCACTTTGCGAAAAATGAAGAGCCCATGCTCATCAGCTTCGAATCAAATAAAAACCTGATAATCGATGACAATCATCAAACTACCTAACCATTACAAAGATGTAGAGAACCTCATTGACCACCAGTCGCAAGACGAGCTGCAGGATTGATGTCTATTTCACTCTTTACCGGCGACAATGGTCATGCATACGTCTATAAGAAGTATGCCGCAAGACCACCAGCAATGGCAGCGAAACTCAAACCAATAGTGGCAGCACCTGCTGTGACTTGAGTTGGCTTGGCAACAGCCACAGTACTACTAACATTATTTGCAGACCCAGGACCCGAGGGCGGATTTACGCCATTGGCTATCGTTGCGGATCCGAGACCTGAGGGTGGTTTTGTGACGTTAGTAACGGTAGTAGATGCAGAACCCAATGACGAATTTGTGCCGTTGATATTGGTAGCTGTTCTATTACTTGAGATATTATTACCAATTCTGGTGGCTGCACTGGTATTAGTCCTAGTACCAGTGCTTGAGCCAGGGCCGGGTGATCTGGCAGAAGATAAAATAGGCTTGGTGACCGTATGATCGTAAGAAGCACAAGTATTGTTTGGCGCTAGGGGACATGTATTATCGGTGCAAATGGATTGCAATTGATCTCCTTGTTTAGGAACAATAGTCGTTGGTGGCAGGCAACGGTATCCAAATGATTGTCGGAGTGAGTAACCGATAGTCATAAGATCTGAGTCAGAAACACCGAAGGATGCAGCGGATAATGCGACTTGTTCAATGAAGTAGCTGACTTCAGCGTCAGAAAGATCCATGAACCTATTCAATGTTGTCAGAAAAATACCTTAATGGTATCATAAACTTGAATTCAAAAGATGAGAATATTATGATCAAGTTGACATACTTGTGAACATTATACTGAGATGCAGAACCAGAATATCTCGGGAAATCACCGCTACCTTGTTTGGAGCATGAAAGTAATACACCAAAGTATTGATAGAGATGAGTCATGAGGGAACTATCATGGTTAGCAATGTTTCGTATCGTTTGTCAGGAAAGCTCACTATTGATTGGTTGTATCGGAATTGGCAGGCTGATAATTACGAAGACTATCTGCTCCTCCACCATCAAGGAAGTTGACAGATAATGGTTTGTTCCCTCCATTGGTAGAGACGAGCTCACCGTTGAAGTACGGCAACAAACTGACTTTGATACCATTGAAAGTTCCGTTGGTGAGGATACCGGGGACATTGACACTAGAGGCTGTTCGATCTCCTGCAAGAGATGATGAGTGGAAATCATTGCAGAATTTTGCATGGGGACTGACCGATATTACCAACGAGAGCCCTATTGACCACATAGACCAATAATTTCTTTTGATTGAAAGCATTGTTATCCTTGAACAACGCAGTGGTATAATAATCACAAATACTAGTGCCTGCCAGACGTTGGGCAACACCCGTAACAACAAGGCTCAAAGCTGCCATAGCAAGAGAATTGAAATGCATGACAGATGAATTAAGACGTTTCAAATGGTGATCTTCAGATGATAAAGCGGTAAGAAGGATGAAGTTGATTTAACCAAAATTAATAGAGCAAAAGCAATCAAATAATAAAACCAGCTGGATGTGATGATGATGTTGGTGATGAAGAGAAAAAGAATTGGATTGAGAAACAAAAAGGATTATGAATGGGGATGTAAACAGGCTGGGTGGATAAGGAGACTTCGTTCTTTCCATAACGTGTTGTCTGCGGATTGGGAGGCGACGTTACTGAAATTGAGCAGTTACTGACTTGCTATTAAGCAGCGAGGAAGGAAATTGGCAAAGGTACCAGGCCAAGAATAGACCCAAACAATTGAAGTAGCTCTTCGTAGACATTTTATTAGCATGCGTTATCTCTTACCAAAGATAATATGCCTTTCAAAGACGGCAGTCAAAATTTCAAACCCTTCTTCGATAGCCAGTGCAGCCATGCAGGCGTTTGGGAGAACAATTCCTAAGCGCCTACTCTGGTATCTCTCAAATTGTCGACACCCGGTAGATGTAGAAACGTATTTCCATGTCAAAAAACGCGATCATTGAGTCAATTTCATGTACCAGTCGAATGTATTGAGGGCTGATCCGTACTCAATTGGCGTATATCAATTCAACCAGGATTTAGGGATTGTCAAAATTGACGTCCGGTTGCGTCTTATCAAGTTAAGACGATTGCCAGTGGAAGCCCCGAAGAAAAGTCCAAAATTGATACTACTTGTGTCCCAGAATGATCCGGATCTTTTCATAGACTTTATGCATATAGATCGTAAGAAATATACAATTTGTTTCGTGCGCCGAAAGATGCAACTTCCCTGATAGTATGATTGTGAGAATATAAGAGAACATGAAATAACGGTAGAGAATAGTAGAGAATAGTAGAGATGAAATAGGATTAGTCTAAGAAATCACTAAAACAACTACTCGAGTTCCCGGGAAGTGTTCAGAACTACAATTTGCAATGATATATCACCCTTAGTTGAAGTCTTTAGATATATAGACACATATCGCTTCTTGAAGAATCACGTTGATGTGAGGAAAAAGATGGTTGATGTAGAGTCAAAGACTGTGCGGTATTGGAAGGAGTAGGATCGCTTTGCTTTCCCCCAGAGAATGTCTGGTAATAGGGAGGGAGCATTGCAATACCACGACCATTTTCACCTCGTAGATAAGTTTCTCCAAGCTACGGTTTCCCCCCTCACACCGAGACAATTCGATGCTTACCGGAGGGACTCTAACTCTAATGCCTCAAGTACATATGGTCTTGAATACTTGTTAACATGCAGATTGACGACAGCGAGTGAGAAGCGATAGCTAGGAATCATTCTGTACTCGAAGTGTCCTATGCATCATCAACGCACAAAAAGCCAAGTGACGCATCTCACATCTATCTCACAAACAGCGAAGCTGCTACACCGGTCCACCTACAATGAGAGAATTGTAATGCCGATAGCATACGTACCTAACACACCTCAACCCTCTACCCTCTAGCATTCAGCAACCAAAAGATCAGCCCTGTGAATCCCCAATCGAATTCAATTTCGTATTTCGTAAAACCAGTAAACTCACAGATTGTATTGTATTTATTGTGTTGTATTGTGTAAAGAAAGATTCAAGATCTTATCACATCACATCGCATGATGTACGGTGTGTAGGTGTGTAACCTTACTCACTCAAGTGTACTCACTCACTCGATGTATGTATGACGAAGTTTCAGCTCGTCATCTCTCTCGTCATCCCGTTCGTCATCTATCTCACGATCAAGATGTGGGTTGTGGAATGTAGGATGGGATGTGATATGTGATATTTGGTATTTGTTGCAGACTGGTACTTGTAATTATAATCGGTGATTAGGTAGCTGGAGGTACTTATTACTTGGTGGCTGGAAAAGGATTAGTCATACTTGATTTGATATTCGGTGATGTATTGTATCTACTCTTATCAATATTATCGTATTGTTACCTGGGTAGGTAGTGAGTATATTTTTCACCGTTTGACAGACACCGCATTTATGCATTGATGACATAAGAAGTGATGGGACTAAATGAAGATAGTTTCGGTGTACGATGTATATCTGGGTGGGTACATGGAACATGATTCTAGAAGGCTTTTGGATGGGAGTGGAAAGGTCAGGGTGAGTTATATATCACCTCGTGGGTATGCGTAGGAGTGTGTGCAGTATTGTAGATGGGATTATGAAGTATGGAGTATGGAGTATAGATAGAGTTTGGGTATAGCATATGGATGTGGAATATGGAATACGGATTGTGGACTATGGACTATGGACTACGGACTATGGACTGGACTATCTATGGTATGGACTGGACTGTGGTGGATTGTGGAGAGAGAGAGAGATCTCCCGGAATCCTTATCGGTTGATGGATGGATGGATGGATGGATGGATGGATGGGTGAAATGGTCATACACCCGGTATCTACCATGCAGTATCGACATATATACCAATCTACCATCAATAGTTGATTCATAAAAACAAAGTATAATCCTCTAGTAAAGAAAAAAAAAAGCAAAAAACCCTTCCCTCGTATACCGGCATCTGAAATGGATAGATTTATGAAATCAATCTTATTACCCAATCTTAACTCAATCTTTCCCAAATGTCTAATAATAATTTCCAGAAATACCGGTACACCATGATATCTTATCCACATCTGTCAAATCCCCCCAGCCACTTTCAATCTTTTCTCCATGTTCCACCTCTACTAGGTAATAACTAAATATGAGCGAGGGGCGGAAATTTGAGGCGCATTTTAGATCAAAAAATGTTATACTTTTAATCACGTGTATGTACTAAATTAGTCTAGCTCAGATTAGCTAAGTCAGTGCCAATATTTTGGCCCTTGGCATTATTCTAATCAACCATCTTTTATTCTATATTTAAACCTTACAAATGATAGTAAGTCCTATTTTGGGTATCAAAATAGATTATTAGTTATTATATTAAATTGTTTTCTTTGTTATATTGTATATCCTATAATCAAATTTTTTATTATATTTCTTTTAAATTATAGAAAAATATTTTGTTTGTTATATCTAAATATTATTATGGATCTGAATGTATTTTGATAGAATATTATATTTTTGAATAGTAATGTAAGATAGCTTTATTATTAAATCAAAAATTTGATTTGATATAACTCTTTAAGAGATTATATCAAAAACAAGATTACTTGATTCTTTTCTTATTGAATATCCTAGAGCTCAAAACAAATTATTAGTTTAATAATAAAACATTATCATTTAGGTTTTACTGAATTTAAGTATAAATAATTAAATAATATTTACTTTTTTATATAAATTTTTATTAAACAATTTCTTTTTTTTATTAAATAATTCTTAACAAATATCTAATATACCTACTAATTAGTTCAATAATTATAATTAAATAATCAAGGTAATTCAAGATATTATTAATACTTTACTTATATTATAGATTACAAAATAAGATTATTATTTTATAATATTTAATATATCCCTTTTGATATAATTTGTATTATCAAATAATATTGTTGATAATCTTTTGTTAAACAAAATAAAGCTTTTAGCTATAACCTTTTTTATAGAACAATTTCAATAATTACTATAAGTAATTTAAGCTTCTATATAATAGAATTTTTCACCAATAATTACTTTATATTTCCATTTTCAAGATTTAGATTATTTTGATTTAGATAATAAAATTAATATATTTGTTAAAATAATAAATAATATTTCGATTTTTTATAATATATTCTTATTTATTACTTATATAAAAACCAAATCTTTAGATATCATTAAGGGATTATTTGCTACTCACTTTGTTATCTCCTAACTTAATTAATATCTATATAGAAAAACAGAGCTTTAATATACTAACGAAATATCTAATATAATATAAACTGAATTGAAGGCTAGTATTGAGAATTAATATATTGAATTGGAAATATATTTCCATATATTATTAGATATAGTATTTAAAAAATTAGAAAAGCTTAAATATATTATTGGAGATATATATTAATACAAAAATCCTAAAGAGTTTATTTAGAATATTATAGTTCTTGATTGAAGTATAAGTACTATTAAGTTTGAATATATTCAAATGCTCATTACTCATTGATACCTAATTACAAAACTTTATATTCATATATTTATTTCAATAATAGAAATAAATCTATTAATCTTTATAAAACAAATCGAATAAAAGAAAAACGATTGATTTGATATCTACCACTTCAATTTTACTAATAATCGTTTATTTAGTTAATATAACAATAAGTGTTTTTCTTTTAATAAACTATAATACTAGAATAATCATGGATTTACTTACCTTTTCCTATTTCCTAAGGATTCTTCTAACCCCTACCAAAAGTATAACACTAACAAAACGAAAAATAATATTAGGTAAAACATATTTTTATCAAATAGGAAATTATATTAGAAGCAGAATTCCAAATGGGATTAGAAAACTGATAGAACAAGAATCTATAACATTAAGGAGAATGAAATAGAGAAAGCTGTTATTACAAATGAAATAGTAGAAGATTATAACAATTATATATATAATCAAATTTATTATCAAAAATTGAAAAACAATTATGAAGAGTCAAATACTGATTTTAATATTTATAACAAAAAGATGGATATATAGTATATTCACTTTATTCAAGATTCTGTTTTAATATTATTTAAATCTTTGAAAGCTAAGATGTCAATTGATATAAAATTCAATAATGTATATCAAAACAATATCAAGAGTTTTCAATTTGACAAAGGAAATCAGAAATCAAGGCTTACCCCTTTAAATATTGATTTCAAATATAAATCAAATAATCTTACAATATTCCGAGATATCAAGATTAATAAAACTAAATATCAATACTACAATTGCTAAAAGATATTTTATATTAGAAATAAATTATATATTCACTTCAGAGATTAATATAAAAAATATAAATCAGCGAAATATTCAGTGA